GGATATCCTTGGAGAGATATTTGTTTGCTGCCACCTCACCTTTTTAATCCTTTGTATATTTAATTTCCTTGATTGGGAAACACTTTTGGTATGCAGGAAGTCTCCAGCAGATTATCCCTTCTGTACCATGTTAATCGTTTATATTTATTAACGTAGAGCATCGCATTGCCTTTGCATTTCCTTTAGGTTTTTGAAATCAAAATTTGTACTTACGGTAGTTGGATTCCGAAACCGAGCAACATTGATGATAACACCGAAACCGTAACCGTATCGTTTCGTCTCGTCTCGCCTAATTGCTCCTGTACCGGACGTCAACGTTTTTTCTCAAAATGTTGCTGATTTTTGTTTTGGCCAGCCAGTTGGTTCCCATCATAAAGTTGTCGACTGGTTTCCTTTTTTTGGCATCGACGACGAACCGTTTCTGTCCGTCAGAGAGTGTGACTGGGGCTGGGGCTTGGTGCAGCCGTGATTTTCTTCTTGCCATTTTTATTTTCATTTTATTAACATTTCATTTGGGTAGTTGTTTGGTATGTGGGTCAAGTGGCGACACTTGGGAGCTTGCTGGATTGAGACTGCGACAGCGACTGGGTCTGGGACTGGGTCTGTAACTGAAGCTTACACGGATAATGCCTTGATATATTACACGTATGCCCGATGGTGGCCAATACCAATTCCAAATTCCAGTTTCATACGGCCAGATAAGAGCGGGAACAAGAGGTGTCCGATATCGCCAGGGAAATATGAAATTACTTTATCGCAGTGGACGCTCTTGCCGCTGTGCCACATTCAATTCTGATCAAAATTATACACCGCTGACAGCTGATGTATTACGCTAATGGAGAGCTTAATGGCGCAGTCACTGTTGAAGTTTAATAAATGAGTTTTGAGTTGGGGCGAAACCCTTCATCATGTGACCCGATAAACTAAATCAACGCGAAGTCATTTCTCCAGTTGGTTCTTTTTTTGGTAGCGAAAGTCGTGATAAAGTGGACACCTTTTGCTAGGGGATATTGTACATAAATACATATGTTTATACATATTTACATTTTTGTATGGAATGGGAGTCAGTTCTCCCCTTCAGAGGATATCAACCAGTTCAATCTTTACCATTCATCGTTCTTTGCTTACAGTCTGATTGAGACAACAACACAAATTATCATATCTGTCTTTGAGCCATTAAGTTTTAGAATTTATAAGCCTGATGCTGATTACATAACCATATATAACCATACAATAATATGTAAAACGATACGATGCCCGTCTGACACGGCGCCAGCCACTGGAGCTTGTTCTATGTACAAATTTCTGATCTGATATGCAGCAAAAGAATTTAGCCATTAACATATCAGGGGCAACAGGACAGAGTTAGACCAGATATTGAATTAGATTTCACTCCACTCAAAGAACAAGAGACTCAAAGCGAGCCTCAGATATCAAATCTCAATTGGTTTATGCAAGATTTTAGGCAAATGCGAGTACCGTTCAGAGACAAACGAAAGTCAATTAGGGTTCAATCGATGTGGTTTGGGGCGGGAACACGCCTTCCAGCCCATAGTTATACGTACGGACCTGTCTTTCCAACTGTCCGATAACTTTCTACAATTATTTTCAATACTATTGAACTTTTCTTCTACTTCACGCTGATTTACGCAACTTTCACGGCAAAAGCCAGCCACAAAACCCAACAAAAAATTCCCAAACAACAAATTTATGGTCCCAGCAGCCGCCGCTCGCATCGAAATCGAAATGGAGAGAAAAAAACAACAACAACACGCTGCTGCTGCTGCTGCTGCTGCTGGCCCACGCAACACGAAACAAAAAACGAAACGAAACGAAACCCTTTAGGAAATTTTGTACAAAAAAAAAGAGAGCTTGAAGCTAGCGGAGTTCGCTGCATAAATCCGTTTAAAATCCGTTGGCCTGGCCAACGCCACACGAACGTAACAACTGCAACTGCAACTGCACCTCCAACTTCAACTTCAACTGCAAGAGTCAATCCTCAAACCCAAATCGGAGCTGCAACACCAACGCAGAGAGCAGACTATACACTCCACTACATGGCCTGCGGTTGGGCTCTGGCCTGTGCGGGCGGCACTCTCTGCCATGCGATGTACTCGCATATTGTACAATGGGATTGATTGGAAATCGAAGAGAGACAATGTCCATTGTGTATGTGGAAGTACTACTCACACTTGGCTATAAGAAAATTATGTTTCGAAATGTTTCAATGTTTTCCATGCAATTCCCTGAGCTCCCAACTGGGCCCACTGTGCACTGGGGCAGAGTATCCAGGCCTTGGGTATAAGCATAAATGTGCATGGATATATATCAGCTGTGGGATAGGATCGCGCCGTTGTGGTTTTATTAATGAGCTTAGACGCACGCTCTGCCGAGGAAACGCCACCGGAGGGGAGCGTGGCGAAACTTATGGATTTTGATTTCGATGTGGATCCAAAAAACAGCTAAGACAGAGCAGAGTGCCATAAAGATTAGGCCACGCTGAAGAGTCTAAAAGGATGGGGGCGTCATTCATTGGCTTTGGCGTTGGCAGCACATCGCATATCAAAATGCCACCTCTGCGGTATCATGGCAATCATTATAATGTGAGTGGGATCGGATCGGATCGGGTCGGGTCGTTCGTGCTTATAATACACACAACCTCTCTCTATGCGTTGTCTGTATAATAGATATGCGATATTATGGGGGCGCTTGGGCAAGTGTCGCGCGAGCAGAACGTGCCCGCCTTCACGGGCCCATGACTGCCATGAGGGATGGGCAATGGAAGCACCATTATTGTTTTCTTCTTTTGGTGTTTTTCGATTTTCTAACAATTTTGAATTATGCCAAATCGAATACATCAATTCACACAATGATCGTGCGTACCCCAACGGCAAATCATTTGCTAAATGCCATTAATCAAACTGATTTGCATATTTTTGTTTGTTTTGTTTCAGCTACGATTTTTGTTGGGAATTCCGCCACTGCCGTACCACTCCAAAATTCGGCAAACGAATAAATGAATCGATAGAGAAAGGTGAGTGACAGTCTAACTAATTTCTGGGAACCACCTACCCCCTACCGTTTGCCATTGAACTTGACTTGAGTGTGGGAAGATTTGATCATTAAAGATTTAATTACTGAAATGGTTTTTAGACGGTTAAAAGTAGTTCCATTAAGACACAAAATGACCAAATTCACCATGGGTAAAAGTAGAACAATTATAGTTGTAGATATTTATATGGAAATGGAATAGTTTCTGAAACTAAGTACGTACCAAACGAGTATGTGTGAGTATTCCACCTGTCGCTGACTGTACATATGTCCAAATAATTACAGAGATTTTTTTCCCAATTACATCCGAATCGGTTATGCGGAGAGTACGGTTTTCCACAGGCATTTATCACGGGCTGACAGCCGAGACACGCCAAATCGCCGCCAGCAGCGGTCAGCACATAAATTCGCCGACAAACTCAATCAAAAAAGTGGCTATAACAGGCGCTGCTCCACTCATTTTATTTTTTCCATCTATGTGTGTATGTACTATGTACATATGTATGTATTTTGGTAAGCAATTTTGTCGTGAATGCAAATTTTGTGTACACTTTTAATTAACGTTAAAGGTTGCTTACAGCCGTTGTTGTTGGCGTTGTTGTTGTTTGTTTTGGACATTTTCCAGCACTTGTTTGACTTTGAGGCCTTGTGGAGTTCCTTCCATTTGGTGTATGTTTTGGCTGTTTGTTGATTAGCGAAAAGGCAAAGTAAAATAATGAAAATAAAATCAAGAAAATTCAATATTGAATCACGAAATCGGTCGGTACTCGTACTTGGACTCGTACTCGGTGTGTCCCCCGTGTGCTCCATACATAATTTGCCTAATGTTTGCCTATGCTAATCGGGGACATTAATCAGACTTGTTAACAACATTGAGCACGAGTCGCGAAGGGGTCGCCGCCAGTAAATGCCAAACAAATCAACAGTCGAGCCGAAATTACTTCATTTTCGTAACTTAAATTGATGGATTATTAAATAAGAGGGGAAACACAGCGGCTCAAAAGAGTACAAAGCCTCCCCGCCCCAACAATGGGCATACAAAATGAGAGACCCAATAGGAAATTGGCTTACCAGTTGGGATTGAAAGGGGAAAAGAGCGTTCTTCAAGAGTTACTTTAAAGAACACCAGATGAAATGTTTCGTAAATATTTTATTATTCATTATCCTCTTAATTCTTCATATAACCCGTCCTCCTCTTTAGCTTTAAGCCCCACAAATCAAAGCAAGCGTGCAGTCAATTTCCTCATGGGCTTCTCTGTATAACGCACGTGCCATCCACACGAGCAACAACAAAGTCCGCAGCGCAGCATCGAAACAGCAACAGCAACAACATACAATGCAAAAGCAACGAATTACAGGCCAAAGCGGAATGCAAGTCAAACAAAAGAAAGTTGAATAATGCCCCGCCTGAGCACGGCAACAATGGAATATTCAGAAAATGTAAGAAACGATCCGACGCACTTTTCGCTTTTGAAACGGTTAAAGCGGAACCAGTTCCAAGCTCCAGCTTATGGAAAGAAATTCACTTTTTTATAAACTGATGAAATTACCATGTTTTTATCCAATTTACAGCACCCTAAATTGCTAGCTTTACTCTGTGAGTGCTTTGATACCCTTTATTAAAAGGAAATACATCAAACTTGTTCACCGATTACGAGAATTTCAGATTCATATATAAAGATACGACTCAACGATCTACCAAACTTTATTTCATTCGAGTATAGTCCATAGTCGTTATGTCTGGTTCGTTGAGCAGCTGATGCGGAGGAGGGTGAAGAGAAAGAGTGATTGTAGATGGAAAAGGGGAGAGAGCAGAGTAGAGTTTCGGTGGAAGCAGGAAAGGTGTCGAAAGCCAAGACAAATATTACACATTTAATTATGACAAGGTAGCGCTGTTTCTCCTCCACTCCTCCGCTCCTCCCTGAACACACAGAAAATTCATCTGAAACGCTGCCCTGAGGCTCTGTGACTTCTGCGTGACACTAATGCTTTTAATGATCCATGTTGTCGCTCAAGCTGAGGACGAGCGACGCCCATTTGACTACCATTGTCTTTTAGCGTTGTCAGCACTATCAACTTGATCAGTGACTTGGCCCAAACTTGACTCCCATGGGAAATGCTCATGAGTTATGTAAAGACATGGGTCGTTTAGTACTTATTTACTACGATCATTTATGGCTAAGTTCCAGCTTGGCAGCACATGCACATTTACGGATGACTGTGAACTTCCATCCCACAGGCAATTATTCGTTAAGTTTCCGTTCGTTTGTGGGAAATTTGAACAGAGAACAGTACAGAACACTGCTGGAAGAGAAGAATTAATTATCATTAAAAAGCAATTCATTTTAGCAATGATTTGCCCTTTAAAAATATTTCTGAACGATGTCTGTTTATTACTATTTTATGTTAATTTCTATCAATTTAATTTCCATCTTAGTAATTTTGAAATATCAAATAAGTTCTAAACCAGCTGAACACGGGATCTGTTTCCCCACTTGTTGTAAACAATCTCTTTGTCCTTTCGCATTTGACGGTGCAGTTTGAGCAGCTTGCGATTAGCTTTGAGGTACTCATCCATTGACTTGGAGAGGCGGACAACAAGTATGTCGCGTACGTTACCAACGTTGCTCTTTTGATAGACATTGGCCGAGGTTATCGTGCAGAGCTCATCATCTTGGCGACCGTCGAGCAACATAATCTGATCCTCGAGCTTCAACATGCCCTCCTTGAGCTTTTTCTTCTCATCGCTCAGCTGTTGCTCCTGCTGCTTTTGTTCCAACAGATAATCCACTACCTCTTGGGGTAGAATGGGGAAAATGTCTTCAACGGGCATAATTTTTGTAGACTTCGATTGTTGTTTAAACGAAATGTTTGTAAGTGAATGAGAAAAGGGTATTAATAATGCACTACTGCTAGCCTACTTTTCCAATATTCTAAGCGTGATTTATAACAGATATTCCATATTTCGTTATTCTCTCTGTTTATGTTTCTTCACACCTTCAATGTTGTGTGTTTGGAAACAATGGAAACCCACTAGATCCAAAGCCAAGCCAAGCCAAGCCAAGCCAAGACAATGCCAATGCCAATGCTAATCATATTAATAAATTATCCGCACCTCCGGTTCGAAGTCTCACTCATTTGTTTCCATTGATTCCAATCGAATTCGTGTGTGTTCGTCGTGTAAATGAAATATTCTACTATTCATGGGGAAGCGGAATCGTATTTTTGCCTTATTGATAGCTGGGAGGGGATTTGCAGTGGCTAAACATTAATAAGTTTTTCTATTCCCCGCATTGATTTATTCAAATTATTTTAATGGCCTTTTGTGGTTTCCTCTGTCAATGTGCTAAATGGCAATACAAATTCCTCTCGAGTATACAGGAATTTGTCATAAAGTGACTCGTGAGTTAGTTGGAATTCTCTGAGATCAGTCGAGAGTAAATATTTATAAGATAAATGCTATATTTTCGTTGAGGAGGTTCTTGTCTAATGTCAGTCTGTTTTTTAGACAGGTTTGCATGCTAAAAAGATGGGGTAAATATTTATAAGATTATTGGGTTAAATTTGTTGATTTATGTAGAATATAAACAACTTTATAACAACAGCAGATATGTCTGTGCGTATGTGAGAAATGTTCCTTGAACTTGCTTCAGTTTATTTCATTGGAACTACGCTTGAACTTGCTGTGAAACAAGTTTTCATAAGCCACTCTCCAATTTCATATATTGTGTGTGTTGGGAGTACCCTACCCTACCCTATCCCTCTGCGCATAAAAGACCACACGCGTCTCGGGTGACCATTTATGAGCATTTAATCCTTTTGGGGCAGGCAACAATACTCGTAGCCACCGCCACGACGACAACGGACAACCGAAAAAAGGGGAGCGTCTCTCAAGGGGCATTCTGGTCGGGTTGATTTATATGCTCGGTCATATTTCTATGGCTTTCACTGTCACACATAAATATCACTTTTGGTGTGAGGCGACACCCACAGCCAAAGCAACAAGCCAAAAGTCAAAGAAACATTGGAAATTAACCCGAAATGAAGACATTCAATGAACGGATAAGGTCCGGCATGGTCCGGCATGGTCCGCCACGGTTTGGTCTGTGTAAGGTGTGCCAATCCAACATGAATTTATGTAAATTTCTGTGGCTTCTGGATGATTATCCAGCCACACCCACAGCCAAACTCTTCCCAATATTTGGTGCTATCGGACAATTGCCACAATTAGCCACAAAATGTAAAAGTCATGAATAGATTGAAAGTTTTCTACCATTTCCCTTTACAACAATTTCTCTAATTTCTTTTTACGAGAGCAAGCCCAAGTCTTCATCGTGTGTGGCCGCACGTCCTCTTTTTTGTTAGAAATATCGGGGAACTTGTCCGGAATGTCTTCTTTTGCTTGTTGCTTGTTTTACAGCTAAAACATACACAAACAATTGCCCAAGACCCTTGTAAATGTGGGACTAGGCTACTGTTTTTAACCGGTTGGAGAAGGGGCAACTGGCATAGTGAAAAAGAGGTGTCCACAAGGGAATTGCATGGAGATATCTTAGTACAGCTGAGACTGGTTCTATCGCTTTCACATGCTAAAGGAAACTGTCGTTCTGCTTTCAACTTCAAATGGAAAAAGCTTCCGTTCTATTGTTCTATTATCTGGATACGCTGGAGTTATTTAGCAGCATTTATCTCAATCAATATCTTACAAGAAAGATCATAAAGCAGGGAGAATCCGTTCCGAGAATCTTTCATTGAACAGTTTTGCCTAGTTGGTTTCTAATCATTTTGACAGTACACAAATTAAAAGAGGTTGTTTCAGCGTAAATGGAAACTGCTCTTAGAAACACACACTCTCAGTGAGAATTGTGGCTATGAAATATAATTGAAAGTGTCCGACTTTATATGGAATTGCAACAAAACATCAACAGAACTTTGGTTCTCCAACTCTTGATGGCTGTTTCATAGACGATTGCCTCATTCGGCACTCGAGGTGGAGGAAGGGAGTGGGCAGGCACTTGAGAACATTTGAAGCTCATGAGACAGAGAGAGAGAGAGAGAGAGAGAGAGAGAGAGACCAATTTGCACTTTAAAAAAGATCCAACGGCTAATTTCCATTGTAGTGGGGCAGCTGTCAAGAGGAGGCCATTAAGATGGAGACTCGGGCGACATTCGCAGTTTAACAATAAGTATGTGCGGCGAGTACTTAAATAATAAGCACATATTGCATGGGCCTTAATTTGACAACTGAAAGGCATGAAATGACACTAGAGACAGCGACAGAGTCCGCTCATTAATCTGTCTGTAGCAAAACAAAAACAAACAAAAAACATGATAGAACGATGCCATTCCACAGGCGAAATCTGAAAAGTTGTAAATTGATTTGCTACCAAATATAGCAGGCAGCTCGCTCCAAATTTCATGTTATTTTTAAATTCGCCAAAAGCCTAAGCCCAGGCCCAAAAACTCAAACCCGAAAGCCACATAAAATGTTCATAGAAATCATTCATGGATCATTACGAGTAAGGCAATAAATCTAGGCGAAATATTTCCATTTGTTTTGGGGGGAGTACGAAAAGTGTTTGGGCTCTGCTCTCGCAGCATGATTGGAATATTTAATTTCCAAACTGACATCATTAGGAGCCGCACAGCAGGTGGAATTTCGGTTATTCGGATACGAAATGTTTTCATAAATACGCAAAATATGCAAAAGCCACCCGACATTTGCATAGAAATATCCCCACCTTCGGTAGGAATTGTGTTAAAAGTTAAACACCAACAAAAATTATAATAAATTAGTTTTATTACAATAAATCGTCATTTAAATGAAACTATGGTTTTAAAGCTGTTAAATATGATAATTGATGATTTGGATTAGGGGTATTCAGGTGCCAGATATGTTTAGGGTATTTTCATATTTATGGGAGTGCTAGGGGAAGCATGTTAATTGTTTTGTCTAGAATAAATATATATTTGTAAGACCTATTGAAAGTCCACCTTGGTCACCCTTATGTCATGTGTGTTTAATCGTTAATTTATTTCAGAAATTAATGACTGCGCTTTCAAGTTGGTTATTTCGTTCATTTTGCTCTGCCATTTCCATATTTGATTTATGTATTTTATTTTCGACACTTTTTGTTGTTTCAACTTGAAATATTTACACAATTTTCAAATGAAAAATGTAGTTTCAATTTCGGGAATCAAACGATTGCCGCCTTCGGATTTTGGAGCTCGTTTTGTGTGTGGTGGACTCTTGCTCTCCTCTATTGGTTATCGCCTCTCAAATGGGTGTCATAAATATTTTCAATAGCATTTCGTGGCTTGAGCTTGAACCCTAGCTCATATTTTGATTGTCTAGAGATAAATTTTAGGCAGCAGCAGCAGCAGCAGCAGCAGCAGCAGCTGATTTAATTTTCAGTTTTCCGAGTTTCAGCAATTGAATTCTTGTGACAGAATTTATGTTTTGATTGGTAATATTTTGTGGCATTTTATGGAAGATTTCTACTTTATTTAACGACTTTTTCATGGAAAGTTGTTTAGCATAAATATTGTATACCTCTTTTCGCTCTCTCTCCCTGTCTGGGTCTCATATTTTAATCACCACAAAATTAACTATGCCACACCAACGCATTTGAATTGTTTGAGGCAGCAACGAGGCAGCAATTTATGACTCGCCTTGTGTCCCCCCATCAAAAATCAAAATCGAAATGCACTCAGAGACCGTGCCCCAGTCCGAGTCACAGTGGAAATGAGTCTCTCTGGCACTTGGATTCGATGCGGTTCGATTCGATTCTTTCATTGGCTTCAATTCTGTTTAAAGGTCTTTTCAATTTGCATGCTCAATCGATGATCAGCTTGATTGGACCTCATACATTAACATACACATTTCTGCAGTCTTTCCCATTTCCATTCTAAATTTTATATGAATTTATTGGCTGAGCGTAAAATTGTTAGTGCTCGAAACTGGCTGGACTTCCTGTGGTTTCATTTTGGGTTGTGGTGTAAAATCATTTAAAGTGTTTTGGGCTTTCCAAACCATAACAAAGATTGCTCATTTAGCTAGTTGGATAATTTAAATTTAATTGGTGGATATTTCTGCATAAGATTAGATTTCTGGGTGAAAGTAAAGCCAGGGAAAAGGAGAACAACGAAATGCCTATGGTGCCACATAACAATTAAACAATTCATAAATATTTCATAGCCCCAAAAATGATTTTATTATCTCAAAAGGGTTCCCAAATATTCGATAATCTATGACATAGCCCATCTCTTTTTTTGGTTATCTCCTGCACTACCAGTAGTAATTCATTTTTGGGGTTCAAACAAATGTCAACTGCAAATATTGACAAACGAAACAACTGAACAAACTGACTGTCAATCTGCCCCTCTGCCACTCTCTCCTATCTGTTACCAAAAACTACATAAATGGAACTCTTTGTGGGTTAATAACAATATTGACAGGTGAAAACCATAAAATGCAGCGGAAGAGAGGATAAGAGATAGGAGTGGGAGAAGGATTTGCAGTCGGTAAGGACACAGTACACAGTACGCTTCCACTTCCTTCCTTTTTGGCAAGTGACTCACAGTAGCCGTGAGTGACAGGGAGATACATAATGTCAAGACAAAGGAAATGCACATCGATCGACCTACCTGAGAGTGGATGTCCCACATTAACATTACAATTGCCGGTAGAAAACTTAAGCTGTAAATTATCAGTTGTGGTGTCTCAGTCTCAGTCTCAGTCTCAGTTTCCCTCCCAGTTGGGAATTAGTTTCGATGCCAACAAAAATTAGCATATTTAGCCACTGTATTCTTGTGAGTGTGTGTCTGAACTGCTAGCCAAGAAATCCCGGACAATGGCTTAGG